ACCTCAGGAGTTACAGCACAGAAAACTGCTTTATTGTGCAGAAACTTGCCAATTTATACAGGGCCTAAAATGTTTCCAGCAGCCATCCTGGGCAGGGATTCAATGAAGAATGAAACCTGATTAACTCACTTCCCTGCCTTCAATAGGATTCACATATGGCGGGAATCCTTTGTTTCCTAGTTTGATCCCCACCCCTAGTAGTGGAAAAATACTAGTAGTCCAGTACCAGGTGACATGATCACATGACCCTTCAGTGTCAAAGCAGCATCCCAGGAAGCTTCTCAGGAAGGTGGGAGATTAGCATCTTCAAAAGATGCTAATTGTCCGTCTTAAATGGCCCATCCAGGCTGATTGCCTACGGTCTGGGGGATGTGCCCCAGGTGTAATCCCTCTTGTGATTGTTACATAGTCAATATTCCTCACTTCAGATACAGAATTGATACATGCATACAAATAGGATAATCATATTCAGTAAATCATAACCTTGCCAATGACACCTCATATGACCCGTCTTGCATAGAACACATCTGTTATGCCAGATTCATATCATAACAATATCCTGTGAAGAATATGGGGCGTAGAGTCACATCTGGGTTTTCCCTTCTGTTGGTAAAGCGTGTAGTCAATTGCTCGACCACACTTTGGTTCATTATGCAGTATGCCCAAGAGACCAAATAATCAATATCGGTCTGGTTTATTGCTAAAAGTCAGTAATAGCTAAGGCTGGGTGTCTGTGATGGAGGTCACGGGAGTCACGGATTCTGTAACTTTCCATGACTTCTGCAGCAGCTGGTGTGGCTGGCCTTGGGCAGCCACTGCTGGGGCAGTCTTGGGCCACCACATCCCCACAGCTCCCCAGCAGCAGCAGTAGTTTGGGTGTGGGAGGAGGCTCAGGGTTGGTGGTTACCTTAGGGGGGGCTCCATGGAAGCGGCCAGCATGTCCCTGCAGTTCCTTGGTGGAGGGGCCAGGGGACTCTGTGGGCTGCCTCTGCCTGCAGGCACCGACCCCGCAGCTCCCATTGGCTGCCACTTAGGAGCTGAAGGGAGAGCTCTGGCTAGCCCCGCCAACCCTCCCCCCCCCAGCACCATCAGGGGGTCCTGGGCCATGTGCTGCCACCTCCCCCCCAGAACCTGTGACAGCCCTCCTGGGCTCGCCCCCCCGACCCGTGGGGCGCCCTGGGGCACCTCGCTCCAGCACTCGCAGTCCCTCCGCCCAAGTGTTAGTTAGGGGTACGTAGTACAAGTCATGAACAGCTCATGGGCCGTGAATTTTTGTGTACTGCCCGTGACCTGTCCATGACTTTTACTAAAAATACCTGTGACTAAAACCTAGCCTTAGTAATAGCATATTACAGGAACAAAGGTTCAATACGACTCCAATTTCCGGGAACCCGTCTCCGGCAGCAGTGCTGAATTCGCCTTACAAAGAAGGCTTGTGTCCAAAGTCACACCCCTCAAGCCGTCCTTTTTATACCCAACCTGTTTACAAGGAAAGAGGTACTGTATGCATCCTCTGAGGCTAGTCTTCACCTACCATCTTTCTACCTTGTATTTCTGGTACCACGCGGTACCCCTTAGCTCTTTGTTCTGGATTCAGGAATTCCAGGTACCAAGAGCGTGATGCACCTCCTGGGCTTGTCCCATATATATTGTCTTTATCTTTGGGACACTCCAGTGAGAGTAACTTCCTGCCTGTTACTACAGTAGAACACCCACAGGTGCTGATCCTGACAGTTTTCCTGGCTAATGCAAGGTGTTATGGGATACTTAGCATAGGTGAATAAGACTATAGGAAGACACAGGCCACCATTCCAGGCCATGTAGCTGCTAGAAGTGTACATACAATAGAATGTTATATGCATTAAGCACATACTATCCATATTATTATATGTAATGTGAATCATACCTATTGATCATGTGATATATTACATTAGCCTGGCATACATTGGTGAACACTTCAGAAATAGATTTAACCCCCACCTAAACAATTCAGCTGATCCTGATGACCCAGATCCAATGACCCCACCCCTCATTACAGTGCCGAAAACCCCTTTGAGGGCTGCCAAGCCTGTGTCAGCTTCATGGCAGAGACACAATGTGTGTGGGACTCTCATGATGGGCACAAAGGCGGCACATACAGCATTACGTTCTGCCAGCCCGGGAACGTACCGGATGACACTTGAGTGCTCCCTGGTGGCAGGGCCGGCTTTAGGCCAATTCAGGCGATTCCCCTGAATCGGGCCCCGCGCCTAAGAGGGCCCCGCTCCCTTGCCCCCACCGGTACACAGTACCGGGGCGGCCAGGCTTCCCCAGGGGGCAATTTAAAGGGCCTGGGGCTCCCAGCAGGGGCTGGAGCTCCAGGCCCTTTAAATTGCCACCAGAGCCCCACTGCTGGAGCCCTGGGGTAGGGCTGCGGGGCTCTGGGGGCTATTTAAAAAGTCTGGGACACTTGCTGCCTCTGCCGCCCCGGCCCTTCAAATAGCCACGGGAGCCCCGCTGCCTCCCCAGGGCTCCGGCAGCTATTTAAGTGGCCGGGGCGGTAGAAGCAGGGGAGCCCCGGGCCCTTTAAATAGCCCCCAGAGCCCTGGGATAGCGGGGAGCTCCGG